AGAAAGAAAGAAAGAAAGAAAGAAAGAAAGAAAGAAAGAAAGAAAGAGAAAGAAAGAAAGAAAGAAAGAAAGAAAGAAAGAAAGAAAGAAAGAAAGAAAGAAAGAAAGAAAGAAAGAAGCTAAAAATGTAGAGAGAACTGTACTGAGTCAGAAAGAAAGATTTCTGATGTTCCTTTTCTGTTTCCCACAAGGAAGCTCAATGACTGAACCAGCAGGAAGTCAATACTCCCACTGCTTTTTTGCATACTCTTGGTCATTCAGTTTCTCTATTTAGGTAAGGAAATATGTTTAAAATGATGACATAATGAAACACAGGTTGTGTAGTATCCAATAAAATCCTTTTTGTTCATTATTGTGGTTATATAAACAGAATCTTGAGTTTTAGAGTATGTGTAACATTTTTCACAAAAAAGATATGAGAAACAATATGACTGATCCAATAACTTGTTGTTCAGAGAGAAAACTTACGTCATCTGTCATCTGACAATGGAAATATTAAGACTAGTAAATGCTGGCATTGTAATAGGAATGGATTTATGTTTCTGTGAGTATGTCTTTAACTGGATCAGAACAAAAATTATACATTCCAACATGATTTAATGTAATTTTATAATTCAGATAAAAATATAAATAGCTTTCATTTACCTAAGCAAGTTTAATTTATGTCAGTTCAAGAGAGTTGCAAATTTTGTGTGGCACTTTGGGACTACTCTTTAAAAGTGAGCAGCATCAAGATCTGTTTGGAATGGAGGTCAAAAAATTTTTAAAAAACCCTTTTTTCCTAATCTATTACCACACTCTGCAACATGAAAAAGAGAGGCTAAAATTTTGGGCACCAACTAGTCAGGGGAAGCCCTGGGGTTTCCAAAGGCAGGCCACATTCCTTGCAATCTTTCCAAATTAAGAAGCTCTCATACTTTTTTCTGGCTGATCCAATAAACTTCGCATATTTTGAAAAAGCCTTTGACTTTTTCAAAATATGGAGCTTTTGAGAAGCTTCTAAGCAAAATTAATACATTTGGGCCATACACTCTTTTTATAGAAAGCTATCCAGCTTACAAATGGGAAACAAGCAGAAAAATTATCAAATTTTCAAATTGGAGGTAATTCAAAATAGGGTTCCCCAAGGATCAAACACCTATTATTTGTTCATTTTTGAGGTAAACAGGAAGGTACAGAGAGGTAAATTAACAAAGGGATTGGAGAACAATCTCTTGAGTCTGAATGAAAGAGCTTCAGGATAGTAAATACAATTAGATGTAACCAACAACATGGCAGTTAGATGTAAGCAAATGCACTTATGATGTCCAATGTTCCCAAAGTCCAAATCTCCTAAAGTGCACTATTTTACTAAGTGTACTGAAGAGCCCCCCAAAATGCAAATGCTCTTCCCTCCCTCCAAATGTTTAGAAATCAAAATGATTAGGTAACCTGAGCAATTTATCCATAATGAAAGATTATGGTAACTTGGGCGTTTTAGATTCAGCTAACAGTGGCTAAGCAGGACATGATAGATGTATGTATACTCATTATGTACATGTGCGTATACCACATGTGGAAGTAATCCTCACTTACCAACCACAATTGGGATAGCTGACTCTGTTGCTAAGAGCCACAGTTGCTAAATGGAAAATCATGACTGTGCTGGACTTACAACTGTGTCTATCATTGAAGCAAATCCCCACAATAGTTAAGCAAGATACCATGTGATATGACTAGAAATTTCACTTCCATATTCTGCATTAATTCTGTTTGGTGGAAGTCAGTTGTGAAACTCTTACCATAAATGTGAAGATTGATCCCAAAACTTTTTTTCCCAACCGTCATACCTGTGAATGGGTGCCAAGCAAGGCAGTTGGTAAGTGAGAAGTATCTGTACCAAGTAGTTATGCCTTTGCATCATGTTGTTTACATGCATTATTGAACATTATATATTTATCTAAGTTTCTAGTAGCTTTAAAATTAGGATAAAAGATAGAAAGTTTGGAATAACGATACAGACTTCAACATTACAGAAAAGCTTATGGATATACAGTTTGTTTGCTTTTTAAGTATGCAAGAAGATTGTGATAGATATGCTGATTTAGGAGGCAAAGAAAGTTTTTCTTTTCATAATTACTACCTTGTAGGGGAGATGGGGGCATAGAAATTAAATAAATAAGCAAACAAGCAAATAAATAAATAACCCATAGTTAAAATATGTAATTTGCTACTGACAGATAAGGCAATGGCTATCATCTTAGATACTTTTAAAAGAAACAGAAGACATTCATAGAAGATCATGCTCTCAGGTGTCTATTTTGATAGCTGTTTATTCAGAGTTATGGATAGAATACCATATATGCCAATTGCATGTATCTTTTTTGCTACCAGTATTGTATGACATTGAAAGCTGTTCTAGTGTGTCCTTAGCTTGATGCAGCAGGGTCTTATATAAGTTCCATAGTCACCATACAGCATGTTACTGGCAGTTGAAATCCAATTCAATGGATAACAATAGATTCAGGAAGTCTAAACTATGGCTCTTCAGAATGTAGTGTCATGAAATTGGCACTGTTTAACTGTCCAGTTTTGTATTTTTGTTTGCCTTTGTATTGATAAACTGCATAACTAATTAAACCAATTATATTTACAATGGTAAATATACCTTAACTGGATATTTGGTAAACATACCTTAGCTGGATATTTCTATTAGAATGGCGCACTTTATTAATTTTACGGAATGATGGTGACATCTTTATCTGATCTAGAAGAGTTACAGCTGTGAAAGCTGAATCATCAGAAAGGCCAAACAAAGAAAAATCAATGTCTGTGAATTGTGGTACTGAAGAAAAGAGTTAAGAATACCTCAGACTGCAAGAAGAACAATAATTCAAATCACTTAAATGAAGTAAATCCAGACTGTTCCCTAGGAGTACAAACTATGAATTTAAAACGTAAATAATTTGGACACAAAGTGGATAGGCAAGAGTCATCAGAAAAGAAAATCTTGATTTTGAAGGCAATTGCTATAGAAGACCAGGTGGTTAGATAATGTCAGTGGTGAAACAAGCATTAGCTTACAAGACCTCTAAGAAGCAGTTACAAACAGTCCTGGGGAGATGTTGTTCCCCAGGTCATGAGAAGTAACTCAATAGTGCCAATGTTGTTGAAAATAGTAATTAATCTAGCCACAAGAAATTATTCAGAGGTGTGAAGTTGCTATAATTTACATTATAATTATGCAGTGAAAATTATATAATGTTTGTTTATGTATTTGAAAAAAATTACATGGCCACCTATAATTTGTGTTGTTGTGTGGAAAATAGGCAAGCGTATTGGGTATGTTTGACAACTTGAGTTTTTATACATACATACATACATACATACATACACACACACACACACACACACAACACACACACACACACCAAATCTTACATAATAAAATAACATGGTTTCATTGCAAATAAGCAGAAAGGAAATAGTACCCTCCTAATATTTAAAACTGTATTTCTAATGAGAAGGCTCTACTTTTTTTTACTGTTATATAATTTCTGAAATCTGAGTTTTATTTTAAAAATATGAAATTCATTCATGAAACTAAAGAAAAAAGTGTTTTTTTGAATTAAATATGCTTCTCTTTGAAAAAGCTCCATTGAGATCCATTTTTCCTTCTTGCCCGGGTACTTACTGCATATAAATTTTGCACCTTCTTTCTTACTACAATCTATTTATCTCACTTCCCTTCCATTTTGTTATAGTATTTTTTGTGGAGTTAGTGTTAAGTCAGATGGTCAGAATTCTGCAAAGAAGCCTCATGCCCTCTAATCATGTTTACTTTTTCTCCGAAAACCACACATGGTACAATAAGTGAACAAATAAGTACTCAAGTAAATAAATAAATTCAGACTTCAAATAAAGCTTTGAAGTCATTAAATTGTTTCATTTCACCAGATTTTTGCATGAAATTGGTCAACTATCTAGAAAGGCGGGAGAAGTAGGTGTGGATATGTATGAGAGAAAGAGAGAAAGTGAAAGTATAAATAAGCAGTATATTTGTTGCCAAACTCGAACCCCAATACAATTATAAGTTTATTTTTTGAATGGGTTTTATACATTCATTTAATCATTTTATGGAGTTACAATATCATAATTTTTGAGACTTCAATGCCAGACCTTTTCACATAATGCAGTTTGCTGTAAAAACCAGATGATTGCAATGCAAACCCAAGTGAATCTATAACCATGCAAAATAAATGCAAAGGAAATAACAACCACTTATTCTATCCAAAAGTGATTGAATTCTCAAATGTCAGACTATTTCAACTTCTTCACTTTCAATTACTTTGTGTATTCTGTGGTCCCACCAGTTCTTGCTTGCAGGCAAGTAGCATTTCTTACAGACATGCCAATGCATCATTGTTGCTACTTTGTCATACAATTGTGCATATTCGTGTGATTGTGCAGCAGTTAACTAGGTGTCTCACTATTTGTTCAGCTTTACTTTGTATGTATTTATTTTTACTATGGCTCATATACATAATATTATAATATACTCATACATTATACAGTATGTTCCTCGGAAGGGTGTTTTGAAAACTTGCCTCTATGTAGCACATGTGTGCATGAATGATGAAAACTTTGCTTCCCTCTACTGATGAATAGATCTATTGTATATGTGAGATTATGAGTATGTAATCTGAAAGATATTGATCTGTGGGGGAAAAACTTTACTTTTCATTCATTTTTCCTCCTTAGCAACTGATCAGTGTCATGTTTACTAAGCAATACTAAGTATCGCCTTCTTCTTCTGCAGCTTCAAAAACTCTCATAAACAATCTGCTACGACATCCTTCTCAGATTCCAGATGGAGTTTTAGCCAATCAGGTCTATCAGGTATTTATCATAGTCATCCTTTTTTAATGACAATGCTGTTCTCTGCCTAGAAGAGAAAGAATTTTTAAAACCTTATTTAATTGCTGGCATCGTTATTATCTTACATGGAGGTCAACAGTGCATAAATAGCAATGCGGTATTTGTGAAGAGGGTATATTACTGTCTTATATTATTTTTACAGACACACTATTTCTTACAGAATTAAAAAAGAAGCGAATTTTGTTTTCTGTTGTTCCTTGCAAAAAGCTTTTGCTTCAAAAAAAAATTTCAGAAGAAAAAAGTATTTTTTACAATTCTATTAATTATAATAGACCTACACATGTCCATCTTCCAACCGCTATTTTTATTTTTCTGCAGTGCATTGCGAATGACTACTGTTATGGACCATTGGTGGATTGCATCAAACAGTATCCTTTCTCATAAAATTTTAGGTGCACAGTTGATGATGAGTTTAGGCTTTGAGGAGATATGTCTAGCAGTAACCTGACATAAAGTTCTGCTTCGCAAAACACATATCATGTGCTTCTGTTTTACATTCAATCAGCCACAAGGGGATCACTGCAGACTCTGTCTCTTACATTGTTTAACTAATGTCAGATATGCCATATGAAAATAGTCAGTTCAGTAGATATACATTTCCTTTGCTTAGATAAAATCCTCTTGCTGTTGATCACATGGAATACACAATCTTGTATTAAATTATTCATTGTCATAAGTTGCAAATTTTATAAGACGTAATAGCTTCTTTGCATTTCCCATGGAAACTGTGATTCAAAATCTAAGAGCAAGAAAATTTGACTTACCACTGTTTTGTCACAATGAAAAAAGGATAACATATAAAAATGATCATAAGTGGAATTAAGTGTATTCATAGATGCGTAGACTACTTGTAATTCTGTTCAAATTAATTACATGCACAACCTTTCTGGAAGGTTGTTCTCCTTCATTTCTCTCAACCACTGAACATTCTAGAAAACCTTGCTGTTTAAAGAATGAAAATGTTATTCCTATACAACAGGGTTTAAAAGTTAATAGTTAAGCAAATTAGCATAAAACTTGTAACTTATTCCACAAGACGAATAGACAGAATATATTCAAATCATCTACTTCGTATAGTGTTTACAGTTATAAAAATGAGAGGGAATCTTAATCTAAAGACGTCGTAATTAAAACATATAGAATTAATTGAGTTTTGCTCAAAATGGATATATTTTGTACATTTTCTTAAATCACCTTCCTACCCATTTTATTTCTTTTTCATTTTTAGTGGGTTTAAGTGATTATATAAGTATATTAATTTAGAATAAACATTAATTTGATATTATTTTTCCAAAAAGATACTGGTTTATAACAGCACACCTCACCATAATTTAGAACCACAGTAAAAGTTTAAAAAAAATTATAACAACAAAGCTTGATGAAATAAACAGATTTATTTTTTCCTGTTCTTTTTACTTTTTTAAGGAACCTAATTTCTGTCTTCACTCAATGAATTATTTTTTTATTGAATTAATTGTTTGAAACATTTCAGTTAGGGATTCTTTTCTGTACCAACCTACAAAAATTCAAGTCACTGGGACATCTGCTCATCTAAATTGCTGTATAATATGCAGCATTTGGCTGTTCCTAACAGATGGAAATAACTAGTGCATGCTGCAGGACAACTATGCTTAATTTTTTTTTCACTGCTATCACTGTTTTTATAATTCTGTATTACTAAAGGAGTTTTCACTATCCAGTATATTGAACAGGCTAAGTAGCAATGTGACATTAGATCCACCATCTAATATTTTTCTTCAGTAAACCTCTGCTTTACACCTAGTTTTGTATATTTTGATTTTTTTTAGGTAATATTTGATATTTTTAGATCATATTTGATATTTTTAGACAATATTTGATAATTTTTTGGAAAATATTTGAAGTTTGCCCATGCTTTGGGAGAAGTAACAGACAGCTTCTATGGTACAGGCATAGTCTTACTGCTGTGCCTTCAAGAAAACGAATTATAGCACAATCTTTTATGTGCTAAAAGCTTCTATGGTTTTGTCTTGACAATGTATAGTAGTAATATATTTAAACATTCCTTGATGTCATGATAGATCCAGACCTCTCAGACTAATCAGAAAATAAATACATTTTGATAGATTTAGCACCCTAGTCACTGTATAAATCCCACCACATATTTCACACATACTGTGCATACCAAGTTTCTGGGCAGAGTTTCTTTGGGGAATGAAAAATGATTCTGTAAGTCTATCTTTGTTCCAAACCATAGTTAATACAGGCAATAAGATGAGATCATTGTCTGCTAAATATGTATCATAGAACATTGATAGTAGTGTTTTTATATTGTCATCTATATCATAGATAATTAGATATTGGCTATAAAATTGGATCAAAGAAGTGGCCCTATGTAGGCTGTAACCTAGAAATAGATAAGGGGTATGGTTATTGAGAACCAGACTTCTGCTAAACCATATTTACTATAAGGTATTGATTGCAATATACGCCATGGTTAATTTCAGATCAGATTTCATTGAACACTAAGGAAAAAATTAGAAATAATTAATGTAAAGTTTTTAAAAAGTGGTTGACCATTGGTTACTAAACATTTAATGATTTCTAACTGTTTATGAAAGATTATTTTAAAATATTTATTGCTGAATTAGTTGTTAATTTTAAAGCATACAAAATCATTTAAAACCAATCTAAAGTTAAGGTTTTTAAAGTATAATGTCTTCTAAGGATTGCATATTGATTTTAAATACAACTATCTAATTATATATGCATGGGCTAAAGTATGAAGTCAACCTCTTTGAATTGCCAAGAGACTGTTTTTCAGTAACAGTTTAGATATTTACGGGAAACGAGGCTGCTGAATTGAACGAGCACAGACTGGCTTGTGAAGTTATTAACAAGTTTTGTTCCATGGTCAGGGCCATACATCAATAACAGGTATTACTGTAGTCTAAATCTAAGCTTTTTGTTCACACTGTATTATACATACTGTTTGTAGAATTTATTTTATATTTTTGCTATTAGTCATCTTCCTTATTTGATTCTGTCATTCTAGCACACTTTGATGTGCTACATCAATTTTTCATAGTGCGATATATCCCATGACTTACAAACATTCAAACTGTGTAATTTTTACCAGACAGATACCAATAACAACAATAATATGCAATGTAGTTATTTAAATTGTAGAAAAAGTATAATAAATTCATAATTATTGAATATTTTTAAAACTTGGAAGAATAATAGAGTAAAAAGATGCATCCTCTTTCATCATTAATAGTAATACCATATTTGCTATCTATTATATCTTAGTTATAAATGTATGTCCTTCATGTATCTATTTTATGGCATAACAAAAATCTCATACAAATTGATTCATTCTCTTGTGTTAGTGCACAGTGAATAGCTAGAAGACCAGGGAGATCTCTTAAAACAATAAACATATTTAGAAGTTTGAGATCTTGCTAAGGGTAACTATTTATAAAATGACTATCTTGCTGGATATGAACAATCATATAACATCAATTTTCCAAAACTCAAGTTAGGCTCACTCTAGAGCAGGGGTATCAAACTCGCGGCCCATGGGATGGATCCATCACACACTCATGCCCGGTTTAGCAAAGGAGGAAAAGTCATGATACATCAAATGACGCCACCATGATGACACAAGTTTGACACTCCTGCTCTAGAGGTACTAGTAGATCTGGGCTGCAAAGATTCAAACAATCACAAAGTGTTAGCAAAAAGCTATATAACATGCAAACAGTATTTTAACCATATTTTTTCAGTTCAGATCTAGTGCCTCTTACTTTCCCACCTAATTTCCTTTTGTTTCAGGAAGTCAGTTGTTGCTCTCTTTGTTCTGGACAAGTAAACATGTCAAGCAAAGCACTAGGTTTTAGCCTCTCATTGGTTTATTTAAAAAGATCAATATTTATAGTGGCTGACATCTTTCCTCATAGCAGGCTGGCTTTTCATTTTTTGAAAAATATCAAACTACCATAGAAAAAACAGAAATCATTTATGGAGGGTGTCTGATAGGGACCATTTTGCCTACCCAAAACAAAGTAAGTAGAGCATTAACTAAAGACTTACGAACTTTCAAAGTAATATCTATTTATATGAATTATCCAGATTCCAAGAATAATGTATCAAATATTTTACCTTCTCTAGTAGATTTACTTTTCTCATAATTCATTAAATTGTGCAGGAAAACCAACAAGCATAGTTAATGACTGTTGAAAATTCTTGAAATTTTCTAGCTTTTTTTTCCCAGAAAAAAAAGTCCTCTTTTAAAGTCATTAATGCAAGATATCTTGAAATTAGTTCTTCAAAATAAAGGATACACAAAGGCAATGATGATGAAATGATTGCAAACAAGTTGGAATAATTCTCTTCAAATTCTGAATAAAGATTATTTATCATATTTCATTTCTGACAGTCTAAAAAAGTTTATTTTGTTTACATCCCATCTTATCTTTCTTCAAGAAACTTTATGAAGTAGTTTCTTTTACTCTCGTAGCAATTCCTTGAAGAAAAGATGAATTTAAAAATGGGTGTGGAACAAAGACACCATATTATTTTTGAATTTTTAAAAAATTATTCTAGCATTAATTAACTATTTAATATTGATTAGAGATATCTCACTGCTTCATAATTTTAAAGACTCACCAGTCTGGCTGAAAATGTATAGAAGATTATGTCATAACAGACCTTAATAGTCTGATTCCATTCCTTCCTTCAATATTTTTAATTTTCTTGTTTGTAGACTGACAATTGGTTATTAAAATGCAAAGTTAATTGTTATATTTTAGTAGCCAGGACTCAATTCTAGATTACTATAGTCTACCACAAAGAGCTATGCCATTTTGAAGTCAAGTTTTATATAAAATTGGGGAACATATTTCTTTAATGAAAAACTATCAGTGCAATTGGATATGAGCATGAAGTCTTACTGCAAGAAATGCTTCTGGAGAGAAATATATCATTTCTAGGTAAGCTTTTATATTTTAATATAATACCTAAATGTTGGAAATCTCAGTAATTGTTTCCAAAAAAAGTCTCTACAGATATCCTGTATATTAAGTAGTAAAGAGAGACTAAGAAATGATTGATGCAGTGCATGTTATCTTTTATTGATTTAGACCTGAGCAGGAACTCAGTTATCTAATACCTTATACTGCATGTGCACAAGCAAGTAATTAATATTTTATAGAATAAGTAGCTGGGAAAAAATGCTTTAATATCAGTTGTTGTATTACTTTTGGTGTCATGAGATATTAGCCATAGCCTAGGTCTTAGGAGACTTAGAAGGAAGTATAAGAAATATTAGTTTTATAATGCTACATGTATTAAATCTCTACAAGAGGAATTCACTAGTTTCTTTAGAACTTTATTTCCCTTTTTACAGTATATTAAACCTTGCTCAATTGTATTGTTAGTCAGAATTATATTAAATGATAACATATGGAAAGAGAGTATTACAGTTAACACTTCCATGCATTGGTCATTATTGTTTAAAGGACTATTTGCCTTAAAGCACGATATGTTTCTCATTATTCAAAACTGTTATGTGGAATGATAACATTTCAGTATGAAAAAGTATATTTTAATCATGAAGGCTTTTAAGCAAAAGTTTAAATACAACCAAAACCCAAATGATAGAAAAACTATTTTAAAGCAAAAATGCCTAATTACAGCAGCTGTGATCAACTCTGTTTCTTAGATTCTGTAATAACAAGATTAAGAATATTAGGATTAAATGAGAATAACTATGAGATACTAATAGCAGGACCGAAGCAAAAAGCAGCAGTTACATCTCTACATTTACTCTATAACAATTATTTTTTTATTATTTGTGTAGGAGACATGACATCTATTCCTTAAATGTATTCTTATGATTTCCTAATAAAGACAGAAATCAAGTTTGATTTAAATAAATTTCTTCAGTCAAATTGTTAAGGATAACTTATGCTGTTAGATAAATTATATAGCAAAACATGCAATTCTATCCAAAAATAAACATATTCATTCTGAATTCATTTAATTAATGTTATGGGCTTACTAATCACATGCATTCAGAAATATATCCTTTTAGTTACTTTATTGTTTACTACAAAGAATGCAAGATGATATTTTAATGTTGAACTACAATAAAGAAAAGATTAAGCCAGTTAGGTCATTCCATCCATGCCTTAAGCATTCAGGAAAATACATGGTTCCAATTAGTTTATTCTTGGTGAAATAATGAAAATTAGCAAACCATTTAAATAAGATGAATTCTTCCTTACAAACCACTCAATGAAAGAGATAAAATATATTTTAAAGCCTCTGGATGTTTCAGCTAGAGAAACTATTCGATGACACAACAACCTTTCAGAATTGATTCCAATAATATACCAAATACATTTTTCAAAACACTTTTCGGATTTCCTTGTATTCCATGATACCCTAGATCTAAGTAGACTAAGTAGAACAGGCAGTTAAAAACTGCCCAGATTCTTTCTTTTCTATGTCTTTAGTGATCAGTAAAAAGAAAAAGAAATATCTTGCCATTGTTTCTATTAAATAATATTGACAAGAATCTTACCAAATTGAGCAAAAATTTCAGAAAATGGATTTAGATTCATTGATAAGATGCCGTATACTACAATTTTTTCCATTCACAATAACCCTTTGATTTATACCTATTGAGTAGAAGATGTGGGGTGTGGGGACAGAAATTGTGTGGGAATATACAATTTTGGAAAGTCAGCCTCTTAAAATTCCCTTCTGTCAGTGCAGTGCTTGATATAATACTAAGAACTCTGGGATGACATCTGTATCTATGTTGTATAATATTTTTTCAGTGTATACTGCAATATTAATTTCTAGTGAAAATCTAGATTGAGATAAAGGTATAACGTCTTTATTGCAGAAACACTAGCAGTTTCTTAAAGGTATTTGCAGGAGCTTCAGTCAAGTAAAATATTTCTTTATTTTGAACATTTTTCAGAAACAAAGTACAATATGACAGGTTGAATTAATGATGTCTATAATGAAGGCATAAAAATGCAGAGATGGCAAAGAAGCATTTTTAGATTCATGCTTCAGGTTTACCAAGAAGGTTCATTTCAACTGACACAGCATTGCATGCATTAGAAGGATATGTATGAGTGCATTAGTAATTCTTGTACCTTTGTTCAAAAGAGAATTAATTATTCTTCCTATCAGCTAATATAGTAATACTATTGTTTATATCATCTATTCTCTCTATAGCTGAAGATCAGTTACGTGCAAAGGGTTATGACAAAACACCAGACTTTATATTAGAAGTGCCAATTGGTAAGTCCATAATGCTTTTTGTTTTTCTAATTGAGTTGTTTATTAAATGCTAGCAATCTTAATAGAATTATTCCAGATATGTTTTAATCATAATGTTGAAGTTATGCACAGTAATGGAACCATTAAGAATTTATTATGGGAAGTGATCTGTTTGAATGCAATCAGTTGTACATAATAAATTAGACCCTTATTCATGAACAAACTGATTACATATTTTGTCACTAAAATATCTAGATTTCTTTGTTAGATAAGAAAAATATTTTAAGATTTCAGTGTCAAGATAGTCTTCAACCAAATTGTTGGATTTCCTGCAAAAACAATGTCCAAATATAATAATATACAATATATTCATTTTATTTAATACAATTTATATAGCTGCTCATCTCACAGAAAGCTACTGAGTGGTGCAGAACAATCTAGTAAAATAGCAAAAGTATAAAACAGTTATTATCCAAATCATTATATAATAATTTTTAAAAATTACATTTATCATCATGGTGCTAATGATAGACTGCATAACAGAAGCCAAAAAACTCCCTTAATTGGTAGTTAGATCAAAAACATCTAGCTATATTCCACGTACCAAAAATTCTCATATTTCTCCATGGTGATTCATTGGACCAGACTCTTACATATAGAAGAGAATTCCAAAGCTAATAGAAATGTAGGTAGGTACTGACAATCTATAAGGCAAGAGTAACCCTAGGCAGTGTACAGATGGTAAGAAAACAGAAAAATAATAAAACAATTTCTGAATCTCCAGAAACAATAATATAACACAAGCTTAGAGGTTGAAAAAATCATTCCTCCACTGGTCAAAAAAGACTACAGTTCAGTATAACTAAACACAGGACTCATTTAAGCTAGCCCAAATGCCTGCGGAGTCCAATAGTGTCAAAACCTATTCAAACCTCTGAAGGGATGTTGTTCCACAGGGCAGAAGCTGTAGACCGAAAAGGAATAACTGACTCCTAGATCCCCTAAGATGGTATGCTAGGTGGGATCAGAACATATCAACCCAGCTTATTTTGATGGGGAAAACAGAAACAACAGAAGATAAGTGATCTTTTAGATAATCTGGCCTTGTGCTACATAGGTCTTTACAGATGATAAATTGGACCTGTTGCCAGCATAGCTTGGTGAACAGAGGTGCTACATGGAGGTTTTAAAAAATGCCCAAAGCTGTCAAGTTTTTTTAAGGGGGCAAAGTCTTTTTTAAAGGCATTACGTTATATATATATAAATGTAATAAATTAGTCCAACTCAGCTTTCTTGCAGGGTCTTATTTTCCGCTTGCTTATTTATTAACATTTATATATATTTCCTTTAAGAATCTGAGGCCAATGTTTATAGTTCTCCCATACTCGTTTTTTGTGAAAAAAAAAATCTTGTAAGTGACAGTTTACATTTAGGTTTCCCTGGCCATATATTAATGCAGTGAACACTACATTATTGAATCCAATATGATTTGCCAGAAAATGTGTATCATCTTCTAGAATCATCTCTGCAATTTCTAGATTGTCATCTGAGATTTGCAATACAGTTTCTAACATCATGCTAGTCTTGCAATGAGTAAAACAGTTGCAGAATAAATAAATACTTAAATAGTTATAAATTAATCAGTGTGATAAAGCAATCAGCATGTCATAAAAACAAGTAATAACTGATGTAGTCATTCTCTGTAGAAAAGGAGCAGTTATAGTGTACAGCTTCATTATCTAAACTCTAATCATCTTGATTTTTCACCAAAACATTTTTGTATAAAATGTAATTCTATGCAACTGCAACAGAAAAACACTTCAAAAAAGAAAGAGGAAGGAAGGCAAGAAGGAAGAAAAGAAGAGAAAACATTCTGTCAAGTGCTTATTTCAGTATATCTTGCTACTTATTTTCTGGAGTTCCCATTTGTTAGTTATGATGCAATTGTTATACTGTATCCCTTGGCTTTTTGCTCTGAATATCTTTTATGCCTATTTCTAAAGGTCCTGTGATTCTTGAGCCACAAACTTATTTTTCACAGTTCCGTGTCTCATAGCATATCAGTGGAAGGCTTTTTCAGACTTGATTACTATAAGAAAGGAAATTTGCATAACAGTTAAAGAAAGAAGATGTAACTGTCCAGACCATGACTCTCTTAACTAGAACAGGAAAAAGAGCATTCTCTCCTCCCACCTGCCTCCCCACCCTCTTTTTTTGTCTTCTGCATACAGCCCAGTTTCTGAACTACCAACCTTCTCCTATTCATTTCTGTCTTTAAACCTACCTGTTTCTCTTTTTCTCTCCTCCAGCCTCTTAGTTCTATAGCGATAGCATTTAGACTTACATACTGCTTCACAGTGTTTTCCAGCCCTCTCTAAGCAGTTTACAGTGTATTGCCCCCAACAATCTGGGTCCTCATTTTACTAACCTTGGAAGGCTGAGTCAATCTTGACCCCTGAAGTACTGCATTCTAACCACTGCACCACCACGACTCTTATCTTCTTCCTTGATCTTAATCGCTGAAGATTTCATCTTCCTTGTATTTTTCTCTCTCCAGATTTCCAATCACAGTGTATTTCAAACCCCTTTCTTAGTAAAATATTTCATTATTTTTTAAAGTGAACTTAATTCATGACATCAGGATTAATTGAATGGAAAATGGAGACTTGTTTAAAAATCTCAAATTACCATGAATAACTTTTTGTTTTCTTTTTAGCTGTAGAAGGCCACATCATTCATTGGATTGAAAGCAAAGCCTCTTTTGGTGATGAATGCAGCCATCAAGCATACTTAAATGACCAGTTTTGGAGCTATTGGAACAGGTATATCTTCAATTTTATGAGCTATAGGCATATATAACTTTGGCATTATTGTCAATATTAGTACATTATTCTTGTTTGTTTCGTCTTGCCAGACAAAGTTTGCTATAATTACTATAATCTGGTTAGCACTAGATTATAGAGCCAAATGTAACCCATGTTTGAAAACATAAAAGGAATTAACAGATTTCTAAATGTAAGCTTACAGTCGGACCATGAGAAGTTGTTGCTTTTTTGCATAATGTTGAATAAAGCTATTGGTCTTTCTAGCACATCACCATCTAAACTGGATAGCACCATATCTTCAATTTCTCCATTACTGACTCAAACCAAGTGCTGAAACATTGAGATCCTGACAGATTAGGAGTAGAAAATTTACAGATTGAACATGGATGCTCTCAACTTTTGTTATGTTATTTAATTTGATATTTTTACTTCGTATTTTATACATTTACAAGAGGAATGTGCAACACATCAAATTTTGAAGGGGTCATGGGTATGCACATTGCAATCTGTTAACTCCTCCTTAAGGATCTGTGTCTTTACTAAAACTCAAGTGGTTACACCATCCTAGGAATATATACATTTGCTGGAAGCACTAAGATTTTGCAACACAGCATTTTGAAATGGGTGTGAGAACATTGTTGCTTTTTCTTTACCTCTGATACATAGTTTCCTGGGATTGTATAGTTATAGCTGTAAAGAAAAGATTCAACTTCTTCAAAAATACACCAACAACATACTTATCCACACTCTATCCCAAATAACTTCTGCTAAAAATCCATAGTTGTATAGGTTAATACACAGTGTCAGTGGTGCATGATAATGTAATTCACTGTAGTTAAATTCCCTTGCAAAATCGCCCATTTTGATATTGTGTATTAAAAAAAACGAATGCATTTCTGTAATCAAACATCTTACTATGCAACAACTACATTGTTACAAAAAGCTTACAATATATAAAGTTGTATTCAGTTTGTTATATTTCCTGTACATCAATTTAGAGTGTCTTACATCATATATTTAGTGAGAAACTGAAGAAAGATAGTTTGCAACATTTTAGGAATGCACAAACAAAATCACTGACATTGTTATTAGACAATTCCTCATAATGACAGGAGCACTTCTTCTGTATTCTGATTATAAATAACAAGTTTTCTATCTACTGAAATCTATTTTTAATCATCAATTAGATGTCTTTAATACTTTTGAATACATACTTTTGAAAGAAAAAAGTACTGCAGTACTTTAGTAGTCTGAATTGTCTGAATGTTCATTTAAAATCCATAAGGGTTTTTATAAAAAGATCTCATGAAGTATGATACTAAATGTGCATATTCTGAAGAACATTATTTAAAGTGCAATTACAACATGCTAATGTTAGAATCCTTTCAATATTCTTTTGAATAAAGGTGAATTGTCATATAGTATATCCGTGATGGCGAACCTACGGCACGCATGCCACTTGTGAACAACATTTGTGCTGGCACACGAACCACAGGCAAACTTACTTCACTGCACATGTGCGCACCTCCCAGCTGATTTGCGGCCCATTTGAGGCCTTTTTCGGCCTCCCAGAAGCTTGGAAAAATCCTCTGCAAGGCTTTTCAGGACGAATAGGCCCGTTTCATTACTTCTTGTAATACCAGAAGTGATGAAACGGGCCTATTATTCATCCTGAAAACCCTTGCTGAGGCTTTTTCTAAGCCTCTGGGAGGTCGAAAAAGGCCTCAAATCTGCCAAAAAAGGCCTCAAATCAGCCAAAAAATCAGCTGTGATGCACAGTGCAGGTAAGGGGTGGAGTTGAGGGGGAAAGTGCTCGCATATGCAGAGGGCGTGGAGGGGTGCACATTGCATTCTGGGTACTGGTACACGAGTGCATGCATGCTAACGCGCACATAATTTTTGGCACAGGAGCCCAAAAAGGTTAGCCACCACTGTAGTCTACCTAGTTATACAATTTCAACTTTCAGTGTTGCTTTGCCAACTAACTTTATAATTACTAAGCAAGATTATGATTGGACTGGATTGCATCTAATAAAAATAGTATTTTTCTGCATGAATAAACATAAAATCTCATCTTCAGTATTTAAGATGAATTTCCTATGTATCAGATCAGAGACATAAGCACAAATTGATTCAAGAGACTGAGTTAACCTAGTGAATAACGGAGTAATAATGTTATCAGTTGATTGATTAACTGAAGGTTAAATTGTGTGGACATTCTAGAGAAGAAAGACATCCTTTTTATCACAGTGGCTACAATTAGCATTTTGCGGTTTTAAAACATAGTCTTAACAGACTTAATAGAAACCATGGGAGTTATATTTGTCAAGTACCTAAGAGAACTATTCATGCATACCCAGTATCCACAAAGATCTGAAAGGTCATTCTTCTTCCCACAGTGTGATGGTTTGTTGACATATTTTGACATGCTGGCATTGTACTAAAACATTTTGACCTTGCTTCAACACTTAGGGGTTGAGGACTGGTTAACCTATCCACTACTTGTGGAAATTCATAAATTATTTCTATTATCTCTGTAACACGCAAATGCCTATTATAAAATTAGTGACTTTAGAAATTGGGCTGGGATGAATTTAGAATTTGTGTATTATTTCATGAAAATATCAGGGTGGAGGAAAAAATATTGAATCTTCCCAATAGCAGATGAATTGCAATATTCCCATAGAAAGTTTATAATCCAAAACATTTATGGTGGAGGTTCTGTCTATTGTCTTTGTGAAAATACACTTGTTCTTTGTTTAAAATGTATGTTAGTATTATAGCTTCCTTAAACATATAATTTAATGTATAATACATGTAATAAGTTGCCCTGTTGTGTGTCTGCAGTCCAGATTATTTGGGGCAGACTGTTCTTTTGAACATGTATGATGACAAATTATTTCTTTTTTATATTTCTAAAATAGTGTTCACTGCTTCCAATAACAAATTAAATAATCTGAAATGATATTTGAGTCTTTGAAACCAAATGGCACCATTTGCTTCAGTTGTAATAATGTTACAACAAATCAACAATAATGTTTGTTCATTTAATAATATTAAATCAACAAAATGTGTAATTAAGATTACATTGGCCAATGAATATTATTTTCAGGTTTTTTTCATAAATATGCTCATTTTTTTCCTATTTATAGACATAGCTTGCCTATCTTTCCCTTTTGGGCTTTATAATTTTTACACTGGCTCCTGTTGTATTGTCCACCTCAGTTTCAAACTGAGGTTTCACTGCTTTGTATTACATTGTCCTTACTCAGATCTGGTAATAGTAGATATAGCTATTATATCTGCTGAAGCCAGCTTGCCTTCAATATGGCACAATCATCTCACCACTGAAATGGCCTTTAGCAAAATGGGCAGCATGCAAGTTTGATACATAAATTGCTGTATAAATATCTAGGTGCACAGGACAATTGTGCATCACAATATTGGTTTCATCCTGCTACAACATGCACTGTTTCAGGTTCTGTGCAGCGGCAAAGATAGAAGGGAGATATGCAAGTTAGGGGAAGAGAGGCGCTCTCAGCAGTCATAAATATGGGCAGGCTGCCCAGTGCCTGAATTTTGATCACATGGCTTCAGGGGCACAGCAATTGATGTAACTTTCAGGACTAATTTTAACTACCATTATTTTAGCATTTTCTTAACTTCAAATAGATGCTAAATAGATGCTTGCTAAGTAAGGATGACCTGTAATATCTGTAGCAAATGCTAAGTATACAGGTTTACCACCATAAATCCATAAATAATTGGGGATTTTAGAAATAAAATGCACATAAATAGTCCAGGTAACAATTTATTAGGAACAAAAGAGTGTACTATTTAAAAGCCTGTGATATGATATATGTTATATTCAATGTAATTTGTTAAATTAATAAGGTTAATTGTCTTAAATTAAAATAAAAGTTCACTTGTTCATAAGTATCGGTAAGCAATAAGCTAATAAAAGGTGTAGCATTTCTAATTAATTTAATTTACATCATAGAGATTAAGTGTAAAATTCAGATAGCAATTCCATTACCGTACAGTAGTTATTCAGACCTGTATTTGTATCTGCCAAATTTAAGTTAATTAGGAATGTTGATGCTGTTTGTTTTTTCTGTCACAAAGCTCATCTTTAAAAAAAGGCTAGACACTTTCCCTCTCCCAACATTTATCATCTAAATAATAGTCTCCCCAAGATGGCAGCCACATAATAAACTCTTTTCAGTGGAGTGATGGGTAATGAAGCTTGCTTGTGAAGCCAGCGAAAAATGTTGTCTAGTCAAGTGCATGAATATGATAGCTGGAGAATCAGTGGACTTTCTCAGCCATCAATCTTTTTAGAGCTTCTTCTACATCTGAATATTTTGATAGATGATCAAATAATTGAGTTATCTATCTTTCTAACTATAAGAGTTGCATAAAAATTATTCTCACATAGTACTGAATATTAAACTATATTGCACGTCCACTAATTTTTTTTAAAAAAAGTACCCAAGTGCTGAAGGAATTTTAAAATATCTCTTTTCCTTTTAAATTAACAAATTAAATGTTTGCATTTTTTTTTATAAGAGAATCAAAAACACAGAATCTTGGACTAGATGGAAAAGAAATAAAATGAAGATATGACTAGCACATCAAATAATATATAAAGTGTTTGTAAAATGTCTTTGTGACTAATGAGCAGTTCTTTCAGATTTTGTTTCACATTTGGACATTTTTTCCTTTCAAGGAATAAGGAGACCATCCGACAGTCTAAGTTTAAATGATATCCAATCAGGACATAGCTTAAATATTATTTAACTCAATATCATTATCAATAGCTATCTAAAAGAGGAAGGTCTGGAACTCTGGAGACAATGTCTTAGTTTCTTTGTTTTCAGTCACATCCTTTAAGATTTAAGGGTGGCGATGGGGAGACAGTGAATCATTTGTTCATTTGCCTAATTTGCATATACCTGTAATAGTAACAGGGGAGGTTGGTTCAAATTAGAAAAAGT